TCCACCGCCACCCTCGCCACCTCCGCCATCGCCGCCACCGCCGTCGCCGCCTCCACCGAGCCCTCCGCCACCCTCTCCTCCGCCGCCTTCCCCGCCGCCGCCGTCGCCGCCACCGTCGTTGCCTCTTCCACCGTCGCCGCCGCCATCGCCGCCGCCGCCATCACCGCCGCCTCCTTCGCCTCCGCCGCCGAGCCCACCGCCTCCGAGCCCGCTGCCTCCAAGTCCACCGTCGCCGAGCCCCCCGCCTCCCTCTCCGCCGCCGCCGTCACCGCCGCCGCCGTCGCCTCCACCTTCGCCGCCGCCGCCGCCGCCGCCGCCGCCGAGCCCTCCACCGCCGTCACCGCCGTCGCCGTCGCCGCCACCCTCTCCGCCGCCACCCTCGCCACCGCCACCCTCGCCGCCGCTGCCTTCGCCGCCTCCGCCGAGCCCGCCACCCTCACCGCCACCACCCAGTCCACCACCCCCGTCGCCACCACCGCCGTCGCCGCCGCCACCGAGCCCTCCTCCGTCGCCTCCACCGCCATCGCCCCCGCCGCCCTCGCCGCCGCCACCTCTTCACCGCCACCCTCGCCGCCGCCACCGTCGCCGCCTCCGCCGATCCCGCCTCCCTCACCGCCACCACCCAGTCCACCACCCCCGTCACCACCACCGCCCTCGCCGCCGCCGTCGAGCCCTCCTCTGTCGCCTCCACCGCCATTGCCCCCGCCGCCCTCGCCGCCGCCACCCTCTCCACCGCCACCCTCGCCGCCGCCACCGTTCGCCTCGGCCCCGCCTTCGCCGCCGCCTCCTTATAAGGACTCCTCGTTTCGCCGCCGCCGCCCTCGCCGCCGCGCCGCCCAGCCCGCCGCCGCCGAGCCCGCCGCCGCCCTCGCCGCCGCCGCCGACGCCGACGCCGCCGCCCTCGCCACCACCGCCCTCGCCACCGACACCCTCGCCGCCGCCGCCCTCTCCACCGCCACACTCGACGCCGCCGCCATCCCGATCGCCGTCGCCGCCGTCGCCGTCGCCGTGTCGTCGCCTCCGCCCACGCCGCCGCCACCCGCGCCGCCACGTTGCCTTTTTTCTCACACACTACGTGCCTCTACACCTCCGTTCACATGGGTTTTAGAGGGTTAGGGTTAGGGTTAGGTAGGATTAGGGTTAGGGTTAGGGTTAGCTTAGGGTTAGGGTTAGGGTTAGGGTTAGGGTTAGGGTTAGGGTTAGGGTTAGGGTTAGGGTTCAAGCCGTTGTGCAGCTCCTAAGAACGGGCCGCTTCGGGCCGGAATGGAGGAACGAGCGGTCCGTCGACGCGAGCTCTCGGTGAATGCTCCGAGTTCGTCGGGTTAGGGTTAGGGTTAGGGTTAGAGTAGGGTTAGGATTAGGGTTAGGGTTAGGGTTAGGGTTTGTGGTAGGTTGTTGTTGTCGTGCCGATATCTGGCTAAGACAGACACGGGCAGCAGACGCGACCCAAGCGACGCACCAGAGCACGGCTGGGCGTGTGAGCCGCCATCTTGGACTGTGAGGCGAGGCCATAGCTTCGTGCGCGTGGGTGAGGTGTGTGTGTGTGTGTGTGTGTGTGTGTGTGTGTGTGTGTGTGTGTGTGTGTGTGTGTGTGTGTGTGTGTGTGTGTGTGTGTGTGTTGGGGGGGCGGGGTGAGTTCTTCACGCTGAAAACAGTCTTTTAGGGGTTGTGGTAGACTAGCTATACTAAGTATCTTACATAGAACATAGTAGACTAGCTATACATGCAACTCCTTGGTCAAGCGCATAGGCATACACGTACAGCATAGGCATACAAGCATACACGGAGTTGCATGTGGATGCTCGCAAAGTAGTCTGCAAGCTGGCGGGCGATCGGGTGGTCGAAGACGAGGATGGCGGGAAGGTCCTCGCCCGTCGGCTGCTGCAACTGGTTCCCCAGCAGCTCGACCGCGCCCACCGAGTCGAGCCCCGACTCGAGCAGCAGCGCATCGGCGTCGATGTGCTCTCCGGACAGCTCATACAGATTTGCGAGCACCGTCTCCAGCGTGTCTGCCGGATCGCAGGAGGAGGCGGCGTGGGCGCCGCCGGCGGGCCGGTCGGAGGTGGCGGGCGGCACAATAATGGAGCCTTCGGCCTCGTCGACTGAGGGCCATTCCCGTTGGCCTTGCCCCCGACCTTGATTGAGAATGGTGCGACGGATGCGATCGAGTTGAGTGGCGTCGAAGAAGGGCCAATCTCTCTCTGGTCCTCCGCCAAGGGGACGTGTAGCGCGCCATCACCTTGCTCGGTTGGACCTGCGAACGAGAGGGTTGGATGTGAGTGCTGAACAGTCCTCCATTGCGCGGCGGTTACGACCTTTCCCCTCTGCTGCCATCACCGCCGCCTCGACCGCCGCTACCACGCCATCTCCCACGGCTGCCATCGCGCATGCGAGAGAGGTGGCTGGGGGGCCGGCTGGGGCGGGTGAGTGGCGAGATGGCCGATCGGCCCTTCACGGGGCCCTCCCCCCCCCCTCGGGTGAGGCGCGGCCGCGCCTCAGCGCCTCCGCCGCCCCTCAGCGACCCCCGGAGCCCCAAGTTCCCCACGCCGCGCTTCGCGATTTCGCCCTTCCCCACGCCGGATAAAACCTTGATTTGACCATTTGCGCGACAAAGGTACATCTGGGTGCCTTCCAGAGGCAGCTGCGACCCCGCCGAGTGGACGGTAACGCACAGCAGGTGGCGCGGTGCGTTACCGTCCACTCCGCTGGATCGCAGCTGCCTCTGCGCGTCCTGGGGATGTACCTTTGTCGCGCGCCGGAGACGACTCGACGCCGCTGAGATCGGAGATCAAGCTCTGACAGGTCGCACGTCGCTCCTTTGACGCCGACGTGACTCACCCGTGCAGATCACATCAGGACACGGTCTCGACGCGCTCGGTACGACGCCTGCGACCCGTCTCGGGTCAGGTGGCACGACGCTCATCGCGCCTACCAGCGCTGCCGTGCAGGTTGCCACGACGAGGTCGAGCACGCTTCTATACGCTCGCCGAGCCTTCCTTTCCATCCCATTTGGCAGCCTGGGAACGGTGGCGGTCAGAGGCAAAGCATACGAGGGGTGGTGGAACCACATGTCACGGCTACTGCCGGCTCGACCCCACGATAGCCTCCGGAGGCTGACTTTGAGGCACAATCATCGGACGACGTCGGCGAGTTGAGTCGCGCTCGCGGTAGCCAGATGACCTCTCATACTAGTATCATCGGCCATGGCCGCAGGAAGCGCGGGGGAGGGCGCTGGGAGCAACACGGAGCTCCGTTCGACGTTTTCAAGATTAGCGTGTCAGAGTGAAATGGAACTAGCCACTGTGCTTCCTGTTAAAGTGAGGGCGAGGCCGAGCCCGAGGGGCGGAGGGCGTGGAGGGGGCGAGGCGGGGCGCCAGGGTTATTATTAAGGTGTATATGTTTATTCTGGGTTTACCCGTTGTCTGTTTCGGCATTTTCTGCTTGCCGACCGCTGAACAATAGTAACAACAATAGCAACAGGGAGCTTGGGATCAGCTACGGCTTTAGCCTCGCCTGCTCCGGGCTCCGCCAGCCGATGTGTATGGCGGCCGTCAGACGCTGGTGCACCACCGAGTGCCGGCGCCGGCACGCGCCGCGCGCGTGATGGGCTGCGGCTCGAGGCTCAGCCAAAGGTCGGTGAAACCGACGCCGCGCCGGTCGCGGTGCGCGGCGACGGCCTCGCCGAAGGTCGCCTCCCAGCCGGGCTTGTCGTGCGGGCCGGCGACGAGCGGGCAGACGCTCGGCGCCGCGAGCGGCCGGCGGAACTCGTCGAGCGTGGACTGGAGATACGGTAGCTCGGTCACGTAGTGGAAGCCAAAGCTGCTGAGGTTGCGCAGCAGGCTCACCGCCGGCGTGACGCCGCCGAAGCTCTGCGGGTCGAGCTCCAGGATGAGGTTGCGGACGCGCCCGCGGCGCAGCAGGTTGGTCGCGCCGCGCAGCGCCGCCGGCTCGGAGCCCTGAATGTCCATCTTCATCAGCGTGATCTCGCCGGCGTGCCGCAGCTCGCGGTCGAGTGTCGTCGTCTGCACCGCGCATCCGCTGCCGCCGCCGCCGTGCCCAGATGCAGGGCCGCGCCCGGATTCCGACTTTGGTGGAGGCCGCCATGGAGTCCGCAGGAGTCCGACGCCACCAAAGTTGCCGCGCGTCACCACCGAGCGATGCAGCACGTCGTCGTCGTGGTCCGTGACCGCGCGTTTCAACATGCGCAGCCTAGACGCGACGCCGTTCCGCGCGGCTGACTGCTGCACAAGCGCAGAGATCTCGTCCTGCATCTCAAAGCCGATGACGCGGCAGCCGTGCATGAGGAGCATGAGCGTCTCGTAGCCGATGTTCGTGCCCACGTCGACCGCGAGCGCACCGCCGTCCGTCTGGTTGCAGTGGCGACTCGCGAGCGCCTGGACGACCCGTGTGATCGACGGCTGCCAGAGACCTGTTCGCGTGACGCTGGCCGATATCATCGTGTCGACGCTGGGGTTCAGCGTGAGCAGCTCAAAGGACGGAGTGGTCACACTTCGCGCCACGAACTCCTCGTGGGCAGGCATGATCGGCGAGCTCATGGGCGCTCAAAAGGTCGCTCACCCGCCCGTCGCTTGCCGCCCCACTCCCAGCCTTTGCCGGGGAAAAAAAATGCCGCGGAAGGTGGTGGCAACAGGTGCGGACAGCTGCGGACAACAGGTGCGGACAACCGCTCGTTCTCCACGTACGAGCGCCGAGGAGCAGCCAAACGTCACCGGCGCTCCCACGCCACCCCACCCGTTCGTGCCGGAAGCAGCGGGGCTGATGCCGCGTCCATCCTGACGGAGGTGGCGGCCATCTCGGACGTTCAAGCGGCGCCAGCCAGCGGCTCGGCCGCGCATCCTTCACACACGCCGCCACGACCGGGATAAGAGGGCCCAGTGTCGAGCTCTGGTGCGAGCTGCATGAGAGGGGCGGCTGTGGCAACAGCAGGTCCACCAGACGGACCTCAAAGCTTGCCGTCGGCGTGCTGTCGTGGGGAGAGCCCGAGACAGCTGCAGAGGAGCCGAGTGCAGTGGCGAGCCAGAGGCTACCTGGGTCACCAAGTGGTGGACCTTGCCCATTCTGATCAGGGCTGTGCTTTGGTGGGGTTGTGCTTGAGCATGTGTGAAGTGGGAGTGCGTGCCTGCGGTGTCTGTGGGTGAAACAGGCGTGTGTGAGGCCGTAAGAGCCCTGGTATGAGCCAGAGTGGGCTTCATCACCCAAGATAAGGACGGTTTGGGACAGCTCAGGCTTGATACTGATGGGCCTGGGCCAGGAGAGCGACAGAGAAGGCGAGGTGATGAGCTGGGAAGCCGCTTTGTCGGCACCTCGACGTGTCGCGATCACCTTGTGACGGTGCCCTGGCAAAATCGTCCCGATTTCGATGCGCGATTTAGCTAAGTCCCAGAGCCGTTTACGCATGAGCGGGCCCCCTCACCAGCCTAGGGCTCGCGCTTCTGGCCCGAGGTGTCGCCGCTGCCTCCCGCGCCCTCCGGCGCCTGCTGCTACTGCCGGTCGGCCGGTCGGGTCCGCGCGACGGCTCCATCCTCGAGACGTAGCGGTCGCTGAGCGCTTTCTCGACCGCTACGTCTTCCAGTGCACCCAACCACCGCGACCCTCGAACCTGCGCTGCGCGGCGCAGTTGCTGCCGAGCGAGACGCCCCCGCCCGCGCAGGGGCGGCATCACCAGACGCTCCCGCATGGCCGAGCAGCGAGCAGTGTGTGCCGCAGTGCCCGTCCGGGCCCTCTTGCAGCTGCCTCTATTGGGCGTAAACCGCGGATATAAGGGTCTATACGGAGGTGGGTGGCCTCTTAGAGGTATGGGAGCCGCTGGCACCGCGCTGGGCGCCGCGGATGCACGTACGAACGAACATTATGAAATCGGGACGATTTTGACCCAAAAATCACAAGGTGGAACTGCCAAAAAGCACCTTTGGCGGCTATTGCTCAAAACCCTGGGAGAGAAGGCCTACATAGTATTACTGCATCCATGCGTCTGGTGCATGAGGGCTGTGGGTCGGGACATTTCACGGTCGGTGGCGCCGATATTGACCTCCGGAAAGCCCTCGCAATCGCTCGGCACGCGCAGCAGGCTCGCGCCTGCTGCTCGCGCCTCGCAGCAGGCTCGCGCCTGGCGTGGGGCATGCTCATCGAGATGGAGCCGACTGCACACCTCAGTTACAGTAACCCAAAACAACCTGACGTGGCGGCGGCGAACATCGGCAAAGGGCATGTGCGCCTCGTTGGCGACTTGAAACTCACGAGCTCGCTTACGTGCAAGGGTGGCGATCGGCTCGGCTGGAAGGGGGCTTTTGTCGCCTTCGGCAACACCGAGCGGGCGCTGCTCGACTTAGTGTTAGGGCATGCTGCACCGCCGTCGACCCTGCCCTCGCCGCCCGAGCCTGCCACCCAGGTGCCGGCCTACCCGCCGCCAACGGGACCAGCTCACGGGAGGCGGTTCTCCTCCGACGAGGACGGGGACGGTCCCTTCGAGGCCGCGGCCGAAGGCGTCGCCTCCGCCAAGACCGCCCTCCGCGCCTGCCTCCTTCAGCACGAGGCGCAGGCCTCCGCGCTCGACGACCACTGGCAGCTCTGCTGCGGCGTGTCTGCGGAGGACGGCGCCGGGGGCCGCGGGGCTTCGGGCTGGCAAACCAGTCCAAGGCCTTCAAGGCGATGGGCAAGCACATGAACGAGGAGCGGCAGGTGCACCAGCTTGGCTCCGATGTGCTGGAGTCGGACCTGTACGACGCCGGAGTCTTTCCCTGCCCGGTGGAGGGCTCGGTCGGAAGGGCGCTTTTGTCGCTTTCGGCAACACTGAATCATTCTACCGGAACATGGTCATGGGGCATGGGCCCTACTGCGAGGAGGGAGAGGGAGGTGGGGGGCAGGGAGAGGGGGGGGGAGAGGAGGAGGGGGGGGGGGAGGGGGAGGGGTACCGGGGGGGCGGCATGGAGGGGGAGAGGAAGAGCAAGGGCGAGAGAGGGCAAGGGACTGGGCGCTGGCATACCAGGGGGGGCAGGGTGGTGGGCGGCGACCGCCGCATACCGTCCTACGGCGGGGACTATCGCTACGCCAGGGAAGACAAGGGCGTCGAAGTGCAGCTGCTGCTGTTCGAATCGTTCGGCGGGTTCGGAAAGGGGGTCCGTGAGATCCTCCGGAGAGCGGCGGACGTGCTACAGAACAAGCTGACGCGGGCCCAGTACCTCGATGAGGTGACTTGGACCACCAAGAGCTGGCTGGGGCTGCAGAAGCAGCGCATCTCAGTCGTTCTTCACACAGCCATCGCAGAGCAGGTCGTGAATGAGCTTGCCTGTGGCGGGGGTGGGCGGGTGCACGGAGCTAAGTGCCTCGCCACCCTCGCAGGAGTCGCTTAGGCGGCTCCCGTGGTGTACCTGTGTTAGTGCCAGTGCGAGCCAGTCGAGAGAGAGAGAATTCTTGATACGAAACCACGACGACACACACCAGTCGACTCGCATCGGTTGCCTCCATGAACGGCGGAGCTATTCTCGCGCCCACACCACACCTGGCTCCAACGTGGACACGCCCATAGCTGGGGACACTACTAGGTCACGCATGGCATCACAGAAGTTTTATCTCTGGGCCCCGAAAGGCATCTCTAGCAGTGTCGTTACACATGCTCCCTCCCCTCCTGGGCGCATGTGCCTCACGTCTCGCCAGAGCATAAGCCCTTGGCGTGTGGCGAGACGAGTTTTTCGCCATGCAGCGAGCAGCAAGCCGCCCGCCGCAAACAGCCGGAGGCATCGCCACGGCACTGGCTGCGCCGCGCTCCCGCACCCGTCGACGAAGCTCCCCCCGCGGAAGACCGCGCGTAGCGACGCCTTCACGATCGAGATGAGCGCGCTCGAGGCTCGCCCACCTACTGCCCCTGAGAGTTGGTTATGAGTGGGATCAGCTCCCCCCCTTGGGATCGAAGCCGCCACAACCTCACACCCAACACCACAGGTGGGATCAGAGAGAGACTCCACACCGGACACCGCCCGGGCACAGACTCCCTACCCATCGGATCGCACAGGGCCCCCTCGGAGCAGCCCACACACAATCACGCATCGGCAGATTGAGTGCCTGAGTCAGGCAGACAGCAGACAAGGATGAGAGAGGAGAGAGAGAGAGAGAGGAGAGAGGAGAGGGTGAGGGTGTGTGCACACGTGTGGAGAGGGAGTGTGTCTGTGGTGGGCTGTAGTCGTACTACGTGGTTAGAACCACGCGCCCCTCAGGAGCTTAAGGTAGAGCTGAGCGTCCAAGACGCCTCGGTGCCTCCCACCGGCGTGAGACCATCCGGATCTATCGGGTTCGCCCTCCGGACGGACCCGTCCCCGCGATGGCCCACGGTCCTCCGTCGCCTGGTCGAACCCCCTGCCTCCCGGTTGACCCCCCGGTCCCCGTACTCCACCATGAAATAAACTCAAAGTCCACCACAGCCACCAGCCTCCACCTCCACCCGCGAGCCGCCACCGCTGCCGCCCGCGACGCCGCCCGCCGCGTCAGATCGCCGCAACGCGCGCACCGAGTCGAGTCGGAGAGCCGCACCGCACCAGCAGCAGCATCTGCACCACCAGCAGCAGCAGCAGCAGCACCACCACCACCAAAGAGAGAAGCGCACCTGCCCGACGCCGCCCGCCTCGTCAGATGCTTGCGACGCGCGCGTCGAGCCCAGTCTCAGAGCCGCGCCGCGCCAGCAGCAGCATATGCACAGCAGCAGCATCATCACCACCACCAGCAGTAACAGGGAGAGGCAGTGCAGGCGCAGAAGCGCTCGCAGAGCCGCGCGCAGCGCCGCGCACGCCACGCTGCGGACTGTCGGACGAGCGCAGCGCATGTCGGCGGCGAGCCGCGTCGCCAGCCGTCTCGCGAGAGAGCCGCGCCGCCGCGTGCGCGCAGCAGCCGCCGCGGCAGAGGCGAGCCGCGGCGACGTCCGCACTAACGGATAACGGCCATTGGCGGTTTCTCTCTCTCTCTCTCTTCTCTCTGCGAGCCAGTCCTGTGCCCAGTGTTGTGCGAGGGAGTTTTGTTGTAAAATTCTTTACCCGGGCGGTAGGCTTCACCTGCCATCGAATGGTCGGAGGGGCGGAAGAGCTCGGCTGGCGCTGCCTTCCCTCGCTGCCCTCCGCGCCGACCCACCCCGGCTGCCTCGCCTGGTCCGCGCACGGCCAGCTCGCCATCGTCGCCGGTCGCCGCGTCTACATCCTTCCCGCGCGGCCATCGACCGTCGGCCGCGGCGTCGTGCTGGCGAGCCGGCTGCTCGAGGGCGGGCAGCCGAACGACGCGATGCCGTCGGCGCACAACGCCGGCGGCGGCAGCGGGAACCAGCGCGCACGCCGCAAGCCGAACGGCACGGGCGGCGTGGCGGCGGCGGCGGTAGTAGTCGACCTCACCGAGGAGCCCGAGGAGCGGTCGGCCGAGGAGAAGGGGTGGGAGGCGTGCCCGCCGCAGCTACTTGAGGCGACGTTCCGCTGCGTGGCGTGGTCGCCGCCGCTGCCCGCCGCGCCGCCGCGCTGCCTCCTCTGTGCCTCGGTCGCCCACCGAACATGTATCCTCAGGT